TGTTTAAACTGAGCTTTAGACATAATTTTGTTTTTGGTATTTGCTTATCTCTAGTATAATGTCTTTACCTGCTATTTTTTTTTTGTTCATTCTGTTTAAGCCCAAGCACATCTCAAGCTTGCAAGTGCTCGAGTGACTGAACAAGCAAAACAAGTATGATTTTTCTTATGTTTCACAATATGTTTGATTAGTGTTGGATGGTTTCTTCGCTTGAAGTTGCAGGGACTTGACTTGAAAACTTCTTTGTATTGTGTAGTGTTGGAGGGTTTCTTAGTTTTGTTAACTATAGAGACAGTTTCAGTTGCAGTACATGACTTGTCTTGAATAGGTCTTTGTAATGTAGTTTTTCTTAGTTGCTTAGTTTTGTCTACTGTAGAGTAACTTGCAGTTGCAGGGACTTGACTTTGTATGTTTTAGGGCTCTCTTTCTTTCTCTCTTATCACACCGGAGAACAAGCTCTTAGCCATCATGCGCATCGGTTCTCTTTACTGGGTTAGTATGAAATGATGGTGTCAATCTGAATAGATAGCAGGCTGGTGTCAGTCTGGTTGGCAGATGTAGAATTGGTAGAATAGGTTGTGGTAGAGAGAGACAATTGAATACTGGGAATCGTAATTGAACTAGAATTTGGGGATTCCTAGCTGAATGTGGCACTCACCTTCACATCTGTAGGTACAATGCAAGCAACTGATTGTGGAACATCTCTTACAAATCTCAAGAAACTAATACTTAAAACCTTACTACTATCATTTTATTTTCTTAAGTAATTATAATAACTCAAATAAGTAACTAAGATGGATGACCCAATATAAAGATACGCTTACATTCTTATATCAGTTTTCACTTAATTTCTCACTAGCTATCTCAGCTTTCATTCCCTCTGCAACTTTCAGAAAAGCAGGACGAGAAGAGATATCATCCCACCAAGCCTTCACATGAGATCGTGACTCGATGAGCTTTGCCTCAGGTGTCTTCATAAGGTAATAAGTATATGGAAGGTGATGTAGATCAGCTAAGCTAAAGAAATCACCAGCAAGGTAGTTGGTGTTAGAGAGCTTTTCCTCGTACACGTCAAGAACCTTACCAAGTTTTTCAGAATTAGTTTCAATGATTTCTTCGTCTGGCACCCCACCAAAGAACACTGGAATCACCATTCGTTGATACACAATGGCATAGATTGCAGGGCCAAATTGGTGTGCCTCGACTTCTAGCCATACATTTACAAGTGCAGATTCTTTTGAATCATCCATTCTTAGTAGATCTGTTCCTTGTTCCTTGTATTTTGTCGCAATGTACCTTGTTATAGCTCGCGATTCTGACCATTGAAATAAGAGATGGAATTAGTTCATCAACTATTACATATATATAGTACATGTAACATGTTATCATACTAACTTACCAAATAGAGTTAGATCATCACCATCTTCAAGAGCAGGGATCTGACCAAATGGCTGCATATATATATCAAATCATGCTGTCAAGTTAAGTAGTTCGTTAGTGAAAGCAAAAGACAAGTAAGAAAGAAGGCTATTAATTAGTTACGTTTTTGGCAAGGTAAGCTGGGTTCTTGTGTTCACCAACAGCCATGTTAACAGGAACAAGTTGGAAGTCAAGCCCCTTCTCATAAAGACAAGCTAGCACACGAACTGTGCAAGTAGACATCGGTGCTCCATGCAACTTCAATAACGCCATTAAGATAGACAAGCTAAGCAACTAATCTAGATACTAGAAGATGGAAATGGAGTATATATGTGTAGATGGAAGTGTGTTTGAGTTTGTTTGTATTTATAGAGAAATAAAAGATAAGAGAGAAAGAAGATATACGTACGTGGAGATGGAGTGTGTTCACACCATTGCATTGGGGTTGAAATGAACATTACGTTTGTGAGTTGACAAAAGATTTGATTTTATTCTGGATGTCGGATCACGGGACTGTGTTTACCATACATGTGAATCCCAAGTAGCTGGGTATTGTAGTTTTGGAAGGAAAGGCAATCAATCAAATCAAGAAAGACATAGGATCCAGTTCTTGGTTGAAATCAGACAAGTTAGGTGAAAAAAGCAGTAAATTATTATTACTAAAAAACAGCATATAGCCATATAGTAGTAGTGTACTGCAAAACTGCAAAACTGCAAAGCACGAGCACACTACACACTAGCTGACCTTACGACCAGGACAACTATACCGGCACCACTACGCCAATATAGCTGACAGACTGCAGACTGTAATAGTATATTCTGAGACTCAAATGTCTAAAAATTACTACTTATTTTACAGAAAATTTACCAGTTAGATTCCCTGTTTTGACTTTTGAGTCAAACATGAAAGACCTTTGTTATATGTTTTCATATCAAAATTAGTTCCTTGTTCTGGATTTCTGATCGCAATTAGTAATCTGTATTTTTTAAGCCATGGTTGCTTCTTAAATCTAAATCCTAGCTAAAGTGGTCCATGCTGTTCAACATTTTGTTGACCAGTCAACTAGATTCGACTCTATTGTTAATTAACATATTAACAAATACTCATGATTTGAACAAAAATGGTATTTAATTACATTGCTTGGGGCATATCATATGGTCGCTAATGCTATAGAAACTTCTTTACAGTAATAATTGTAGCTTTATGATATGAAACGTATATACTATACTAGTGGTCAGGTGGAAAAGTTAAGGGTAAAGAGTAAAGACCGACTGCTAATAAGAGAGAAGAAGAACGTGCATGTCTGGCAGCACATTGACTTTTGTTTGTATATGTACCTATTAGATTAATACATTGGAAAACATTTTTCAATGATGAAGACAAGCACCAACTCCGCAACTAGCTGCTACTGTTATGGCCTTCTTTATTGGGCTTATGTCTCTTGTTGTACTTCTTCATTCAAGCTCTAGCCAGCCCATTTGAGTCTGGGTTCTTCTGGCCATAAAATTAGAACAGATCTAGTCCAGCCCAGCCCATTTGAGAATCAATAGAACCAGACCAGACACAAGTTGGTTCCAATTTTGCGCTACGTTTAAAGAACCTGAACCAGCTTCCCTCCTCCCATCAAAACACTTCAATCAAACCAACTGCCAAACCTCACTCCTTTTTCTCTCTTCGGCGCTTGCGGCAGCGCCGGATGATTCCATCAACAAACTAGATTAACGATTTCGATGAAGTGAGGTGGGCATGTACATTACCGATAGTCAACACCACCACCTTTATCATCTTCCCTTCCATTCGGTTTTAAGACTG